TTTTTTTTGTCATCGCATGGTTTGTAACACAGTCTCACAATCAGGAAAAAAAAAAGAAAAACATAAAAAAGCAAACAATTTCTTTTCTCTTTAGCACTTCAACTTTTCTTAACATTATAAACGTCATTGGTATCGTTCTCAACATGTACAGCTATCAGTGATGTTTTTTTTTCTGGATCATAGATATAATGATTTACTTAAGTTTTTTGCGTAAGGTAACTCGCTATATGAGTAAAATAAATCGATAGCACGAGTCATTTCAGCACTTTGAAATATAGAAACAGCGTAAGTTTGTAAAGGCAAAAATGGTGTGAGTAGAAAAATGCTCTGGGATCTTGGGAGCCGAGTTTCAAAACTGAGATGTGACATTTGCATACGAAAGTGGTACGGTTTATAGCGGAGCTCGCAGAGCGTAGCTCCATAATTATACAAAATAGTAGTAACCCATCAAGCTGAAAAAATTTGGATGTACGACCGTACGACCGTACAAGATGCTACTTTTAACATACGTGGTCAACTGTACCACGGGCACTCTAACGCCACGGTTTTGTTCAGTAGTCCAGTTGTCAGTGCACTGGGCTCCGAGTCGGACGATCCGGGTTCTAGTCCTGGCCGGGATAAGGCGTTTAGCCCTTGAGACGTGCGGGGAAAAAAAATGCGAGCTCCGCTTTTAAGCTTGGCGAATTCAATATATTATACCTATTTGAGAAAATCTGTTGTAGTTTTTCTCTTTTGAGTGGCTTTCTGTAAGTACATAACACGTGGAGTTCAACGCCTGAAATGAAACTAACAGATCATCCATCTCTGCTTTGTTTCCCTCGAAATATCCAAAACAATAATCTCCTTCAACAGAAAAGCCATTGAGCTGTTCTTTCAAAAAGTCGATCTCTAAATCTCTTTGCGTTGTTGGCTTTAGGTCTTCATCCATGGTAAAATCTTCCGGAAAAGGCAAACTAAAGTGCGAAAACTAAGCTCGCGCCAAATTTGATTGGCATTTTTGACAACCGGAAACCTTGATACTTCTTTTTTTCGTCACGCACGTCATGCAGCAAATTACAAAACGTAAATTTAATTCTTCTTGGTGCCCCCGGGTGCCACTGATGCCTTCATTGTTCACTAAAGCAGTAAAAGATTTATGTACTATCAAACCTTTGGAAAATTACTTAACATTTTATTTAGTGGAGTAAACTGTTTACATTTCGGCTTTACAACACGATTGTTTCCTGCAACAACAAATGATATGTCTCGATATGAATTATAAAAGTTGTTTCACCGCTGACCACTCGTATTTGGATCTTTTTTCCTTTCCACGCTCGTCGCTAGTGATGTAGTGACTCCCAACTTCCGTGTTACTCCCCCGAGACACTCTTACCATCATGTAACATGAACAATCATCAATTTACTTTGAATGTGATATTTAGGGGAGCGAAACTTATTACTTGCTTTAAGAAATTAGAGCACTATTAACAATGGCGTGTTCGAGCGCGTCTACTCCTGCCA